TACTGAATTAGGTTCATTCGTTGTAGATTAGCTATGTTTTAAATTTATCATCTCGACATTTTAATTGAGTCAAATTGTTGAATATGAAGTAATGTGTGTTGTCAGTTGGCCGGTGTGGTCGTACCGAACGACGGCAAATGTCATTTGGATACTCGTGGATATTACACGAAGTCTTTGGAACAGGACTATCCGTCAATTGCTTTATTGCATCAGAAGATAAAAGAACGCAAAGCAAATCTTATTTTCGCGGTGACCGAAAAGAATAAACAACTTTATAGACAGGTAATCAACACTATCAGTTACGATTCAAATCATTTGTTCGATGAAACGTGTTTTATGAAGCAATAACTTGAATATTTGTATGTTTCTTTTGCGAGAATTTTATGCGGTAGACGATCTGATTCGTTCCAGCTGCCGAATTTGATTAATTTTTCGCAACATTTATGTCTTCGTAACGTTTCAGTTAAGTGAAGCACTACCAGATGTGAGTAGTTCAGTGGGTGTATTGGCTGACGATTCAAGGAATATCGTCACTTTAATTGAGGATGAATATCGTAAAATTTCACAAAAAATCATTATGGTTGACAACGCAAATGCCACGCAAGGAATACGACTTTCGTATCGATCAAAGTGCCTCAGGTTAGGCGTTACTTTGTGTTAATTCTTCTTCTCTAAACGATGCCTTTCCCAGATAGGAATGTTTTTAAAAAAATGGAAATATCGAATGCATTCATTTGGCAACAGTTAGAAAGGAACTCGTCGATTTGAAAGAGATTGTTGTTTTGCTACTACATATTGTTGATTTTGGTTATGGAATTCTTTTTGAGGGAGAGAGGATTCAATTTTCATTTCAGTGGTCGTGCTCTAAAGGAGACGAACGTTTGCGATGGTATCAAAGTTGGTGATGAGGTGACGTTTGAGGTGACTCTCGAGGCAACGCATTGCGTTAAACAGCGAGATTTTGCACTTCGAATTGGTCCGAGTGGTTTGGATGAGACGTTGGCCGTGGACGTGCACGTTCAGTGTGACTGCGATTGTCAATTACATGTGAGTAATTAGATTAGATATGGTGGAACCTCAGTTACGGATTAAGAACAGATTTGTGGATCCAATTATATGCATTAACGTGGTTTGTGTTGTATCCTTTTATTGAAAACTTAGTGCACATCAAGCGAAAAGTAATTCGAAGAATAAGGTTTAGCTATAAATTCATCCTATTCCTTACCCACTCATTTTGGGAGATATTTCGAAAATATTTCTTGTATGAAGATTGTAATGATGAAAGATATTTATGAGCTGTTTGCTTTCTTGAAGTATGCAGCGAATATTGAACAGTATTCGTCATTAGTAAAATAATCACTGTTCAATAAAGATGTTCAACCGACGAATTTGCCATTCAGGAAGTGATATACAACTCACCAGTGTGTCATNATCACTGTTCAATAAAGATGTTCAACCGACGAATTTGCCATTCAGGAAGTGATATACAACTCACCAGTGTGTCATTCGAAAGGAGATTTAGTATGTGGTATTTGTATGTGCAAAGGACAGAGTGGTGGACGTCACTGTGAATGCGATGCTCCTGGATTATCTACGGTTGCGTTAGATGCCAAATGTAAAAGGTGAGTTGTGTGGTATTATTGATACAACAATATGTATATATGAATAGACTATAAATGATATTAATGCTGATTACATTTGTTAGTACCCGAAATGCAATGAAATTATTCTTTTGATTTCGAATTTGTATTTTAATGATTATTGTTACCTCAGTTCGAATGCAACTAAGATAAAAATAGAGTAATGCAGTTTATCTGTCACGATTTTACACTGTATCATCACAAGTTGTAAATTTTAAGGACGAATGAAAGTGCGATCTGTGAGGGTCGTGGTGTGTGCAATTGTGGGGTGTGCGAATGTACACCGAGAGATGTAAGTTGCGCATTTATTGTTGGTTATCATTTAGACATTCATTTGGTGCGTATTTGGATTTGGATTTAATACTGATGAGAGGTGATACTAGAAGGTGATATTTTTGCGCATATCGAAATCACTTTGATGTTGTTCGGCAGATTTTTGATTTGAGTTTGAGTATTTATTGAAGAAATGTGATGTGAAAGTTTTGAATTCAGAATTAATTGAACTAAATTGATCATTCAGAATATCAACGAGAAAATCTCTGGTCAGTTCTGTGAATGCGATAATTTCAATTGTCCTCGTCATGATCGTAAGATCTGTGCTGGTCATGGAACTTGCGTTTGTGGACAGTGCACTTGTGAACCAGGATGGACAGGTGCTCGTTTCAATTCTTTCTGATGTGTTCTTAAAAATGATATGACGACTTTAGAATAAAATGTTTATTTTATTCTACAGTCGTCATCATTATGTGCCTTTTATCGAAATTTA